TTCATCCTGCTGCACCATCAGGGAAAAGGTAGGTCATCCTATCCCCTGCTTCCCAATGGCCACATTCCTGGAACAATCCTGTAGTGACCATTGTATCTGTCAGGGATGAAGCCTTGCTTCTCTCTGTGATGATTTAATGGGTGCTTGTGTTACACATTCCAAGAGTTTCCAGGTTGCTTCTTGAAGGTATTATGACATTTTTAAGTGAGGTGTCAGAGACAGAATGTGTGCTCTCTGTGTCTTTTTCCTCACCCTCATGGCCCAGCAGTGTAGATAAAGCCAAGATATCTCCAGATGCTTCTTTCAGAGGTCCTGGAGGCATCTGAGAAATATCACTTCTAGGGGACCTTATGCAAGGGAAAAACAGGATCATTTTAGATTACATCAAATCCCTGAGAGCCACACAAACCAAAAAGAAAGGTACAAAGACGGAAAGAGAAAGAGACTAAGAAACACATTTCCAAAAGTTATGGATGTGCAACATAAGGATTTGGCTGCTGTCTCTTCAGGAGCAGTTGCTGAGTGTGCACAGATCAGTGCCCAGTGGAGTACACTACCAAACTGAAGTGGTTTTGACTCCTACTGACTTGTTGGGTGGGTTTGGAGAGGTGCCAACACATGTAAAAACACTCTGAAGGGGAAATGCTGCCTCTGTTACCGACACAGCTCCTGTTATTGCTGTTCTGTAGAATTAGTGCCTGCAGGAGGTGCTGTTGCACATTATCTCCTCATGCAACATTTCTGTGTTACTTTTGTCCTTACTGTTTGAGGTTTTTTTATTTATTTTTTTTTTACTAGCAATCTTATTATCAATGTTTGAACTCCAGCTAAAAATCTATTGAACAATCCCAATCCATTCTCTATAAAGGAAGATATTTACCATTAGGACATCTGAATTTACCTTTAAGGACATCTGAAGTTTGGTGAGATCACTCCTGCCATTTGTCTCTAGAAAATATAATTCAGTTTACAGGGATTCTTTGGATTTTAGGAACTTTAGGTTACATGGCCTGTACCAAGGAGCTCTGATCACATACACACCTGCCAGTCATAGTGTGGTACTTACAACAAGAGACTGGATTCTGCATTGATGCTCCTGTAGCTTTAATCAGGTGTCAAGTCAAAAACAACAAGGAGGGCAGATTTGTTCATACAGATGTTAATCTCGTAAATTCTCCCTGTGTACTCAAGATAACAACACGATTAAAGTCTTGAGCTTGATTAAGTACATTTCATGTACAATTTGAAGTTCATGACTGTGCACGCATTTATTATTGATTCAAATGGTCTCTTCTTCTGATGACCAGTGACAGAACCCAAGGGAATGGCATGAAGTTGTGTAGGGAAGTTTAGGCTGGATATTAGGAAAAGGTTCTTCCCCCAGAGGGTGGCTGGGCACCAAACAGGCTCCCCAGGGCAGTGGTCATAGCACCAAGGCTTCCAGAGCTCAAGGAGAGTTTGGACAACACTCTCAGGAACAGAGTGGGATTGTTGGGTTGTCCTCTGCAGGACCAGGAGCTGGACTGATGATCCTTGTGGGTCCCTTCCAACTCAGGTTATTCTATGACTTGGGCCAAAACTTTACCTATTAACTGTAATGCAGCACATGCCTTGCAAATTCACCACTTTAGAACATCTAAATACTGGTTTCCTCCTTTTGGTGGACCTACTTTGGCAGTGAAACTACTGCTAGCAGCTTTTGTAGCTACTCTAGAGGAGTCTGAATTTCTATAATAAACACTCTACAGCGTCATCAAAGCATATCTTGTTCTCCTCTGCATCAACTACTGGTTGGAGTTTGGATTGGTGCACATGAAAAAGGCTAACAGGGATGATGTTACTGTGTCACTGAGGAGCAGTTTGAGGTTAACTCAGTCCCCAACCACCAGTGTTACCCAACCCAGCTCTTCTTTGGAGCACGCTAAACCATCTGTCTTTTGACAGGTTGCTAGGGCTCGGCCTCTTTTTATTACTGATCTTCCATCCATACCTGCATACAATGACTTCCAGGTGCCTGGAGGATCATTGCCATGAACAAAGTGTCCTCTGGAGGCAAGGGATGGAACAGCAGACAGGTGTAGCAGCATTTTAAATAGAGGTAACACTACTGAAACACATCCCTAATATTTGCCTTTTTTTTTCCAAGAGAAAACTACCAGGAGCAGAGTTTGAGATTCTCCTTTTTGCTCCTAATTGCCTCATCTTCTGTGCTAGATACAAACTCCTAAGATGGAGATAAAATCCTCCTTCCTCTCTCATAAGTGATCTTGGCAAAATTGCCCAAACATCTTGATTTAAAAACAGTGAAAGATGTTTCTCCACCTGACACTCTGCAACCTCTTTGTGAGGACACTTCCCTTAATAGTGGATCCCTCCTGCATCAGGCAGAGCAGCTCTTCAGCATTGTATTATTACGCAAAATTCTGACCCCATCATAGTGCTTCTCCTCTTCTAAAGAGGACTGGGCAACCTGGACCTGAAAAGGGTGAGGGAATGTGACATCATTGGTGAACTCTAGCTTGGAGTGAAAACCTGTCCTGCAGATAGAGAGAAATGTAGCTGGATCATCCTCTGAACTTTGATGAAACAAGAAAAAAGAAGCATGTTATTTAGGGGAAAAAAAACTCTCCATGAAAAGGGTTTCCCTCTGCACACAAAAAAAAAAACAAACAAGAAAGTAGATGATCAAGAGAATTACTTACCAACTTAGCACTTGGTACTACTGTGATCCTGATGTAAAACAATTCTACCAGAAAAAGACACTGGAGAAAAACACTGAGATCGTGAAGGACAAAATATTGATATGCCCCTCCTGAGGTATGAAGCTGTCTCTTTTCTGCTCCTATGAACAGGAGCTTCAGGTGGAAAGGGAAGGATTGTCCACTCTAAGAGCTACAAATCAAAATCTTGCTAAGGCATCTCTCACCCCTGTGAGATTTGGGCAACCAAAGATGCTCCGACCCTCCTCTGCTTCTTCCTTCCCCATGTCCAGCCAGAGGTATTTTAATGGCACCAATGGGCCTCGTGACCAGGTAGAATTCATATTTAATGGTGTTAAGGATGCTCAGTGTTAGAGCCAAGCCTGTGTTTGACATTGCTTGAACATAGGACCTTGGAGACAGTAAAAATTAATGCTGCACCTTTGTTTCCTTGAGGAACTGGGTTGAGTAACAGTAACAGTTGGCAGGCAAGTTAACCACAAACACTTGGCAAGAGGTGAGGAAACTGCAACTTTTGCAATTTTATTCCCTCTATTTTCAGCTCCGTGTCCAGAAGTTCACAGACACACCAGAAATTCAATTATCATTTTTTTCCTGCTGCAGAAACAGCTCACTTTTAAAAATACGTAAGGAATAAACAACTATGTCATGGTATGCTTTTAAGGGAAATAATTTGTAGGCATGTTTTCACATGTATGGATATATCTCCGTGTGCACACTTTTGCACACTCCTGGATACCTGTATACTTGGACAGGGCTCTGAGCAACCTGTTCTAGTTGAAGATGTCCCTGCTAATTGCAGAAAGGTTGGGTTAGATGACCTTTGAAAGGTCCCTTCCAATTCCAACTGTTCTATGATTCTACTTTAGAATTTAATATCAAAGAATTGAAAAAATTACATCACTAACTACATCAGTAACTAAACTGATTAATCAGTAAACAATTAAAATATTTCAGTTTAATTTTGATACTAAACGTTCTGCAAGACTTGGTGTAATTTCCAGAGGTCTTGGTCAATCAGAAACACTAGTCATTCAAATCAGCAAATATATCATTACCTATTATTAAGTACATTATATGTCATATTAAAATACTGAATGAACAATATTTGTTGACTGAAGTGAGGTGTAAAGTAAAATATGATCTAAAAACCTATTTCATATCTTAGAATCATGGAATGGCCTGGGACCTTAAAGTTCGTGTCGTTCCAACCCCCTGCAATGGGCAGGGACACCTTCCGCTAGCCCGGGTTGCTCCAAGCCCTGTCCAGCCTGCCCTTGGACACTTCCAGGGATGGGGCAGCCACAGTTTCTCTGGGCAACCTGTGCCAGGGCCTCACCACCCTCATAGAGACAAATTTCTTCCTAATATCTAACTTGGTAAAACCCCACCTGCAGAGCTGCCTCCAGCTCTGGGGTCCCCAGAACAAGAAGACATGGACCTGTTGGAGTGAGTCCAGAGGAGGACACCAAGGTGATCAGAGGGATGGAGCAACTCTGCTGTGAGGAAAGGTTGAGGGAATTGGGATTGTCCAGCGGGAGAAGAGTAGGCTTTGGTGTGACCTAATTTCAACCTTCCAGTACTTGGAGAGAGCCTGCAAGAAAGATAGGGAGAGACTATAAGGGCCTGGAGTGACAGGACAAGAGGGAATGGATTCAATCACAAAGTGAGTTGGTTTAGATTAGATATTAGGAAAACATTCTTCACTGTGAGGGTGGTGAGGCCCTGGCACAGGTTACCCAGAGAAGCTGGGGCTGCCCCATCCCTGGAAGTGTCCAAGGCCAGGTTGGATGGGGCTTGGAGCAACCTGGGATAGTGGAAGATGTCCCTGGCCATGTCAGGGGGTTGGAACAAGATGGTCTTCCAAGCCAACCCATTCTGTGATTCTATGATTCTGCACTTACGGAACAGAGAATAAACTAACTGGGAGGAAAGAGGAACATGCAAATGCTTCGCATTGCAATGGATTATGTTGCTCCTAAACAGGGACGGTTCAAGGTGTGTCCCAAGATGTTTGACACATACCGTGGTGGGTTAACGTATCTTACACAAACTGGAGTGTCACAAGAAGTGTTGCATGAATAATCTGGGATTTTCCAGAAACAAATTTCAACAGGTTGAGAGAGAAACCCTGTTTTATCGTCTGGAAGTGAAAAGCAGCTTGTTTCTGGTTGGATTAGATGCCACCAAAAAAACCTGTAAGTATTTGATTGGTGCAATGTATAGCTGAGAAGAGAAAGCAGTTTTCATTGCCTTTTGGAAACATCTTATAAAAGAGGATCTTAGCCCCACAGCCAAAACCCTCTGGAGGGAAGGGACCAAGAGCAGGGTTTTTTTGGCTTCTGGGCTCACCTGATACCTGGTAACATCTCAGTTCTTTTTAGCTTTTTTTTCAATGTAAACTTTTGTCTTTTCTGCAACAATCCAACTCCAAAATAAAACCCCAAACTTCTGCATTATTAACTTTAATTTTGATGTTAATGAAAAAGGTAAATATAAGTTTTCTGAAATTTGGATAGGTTGAATAAGTAGTTCAAATATGTACTAATACCTAGATTACTTTGATAAAAATATTCTGCTTACTAATTCATAGGGAAAACATCTGGCTGGGTCACGTTTCTTTAGCGAGGTCTGTGGTCCAGAGAAATTGGTGGCTTCTTCAATGGAAATCTATCTATCTCTATATATCTCTCTCCATTAAATATACATAATATTTGAATATTAAATATATTAAAAATAATTATATGACACTAACATAATATATAATAGATTTCATATTATAGATATTTATATTATATTATATATAATATACATTATATGTTTAATCTAGCCCTATGTTGGGAACTTTATTTTATTTTTTGAATTATTAACTTTATCTCCTTGTTTTTCCTGATATTTTCAAACATATAGACATTTGTGTAAACTTCTAATTTGTGTAAACTTTCTGATGAATTTTGAAACAGTTTGGGGCCACCTTCTATAAATTCTGTTTGCAGAAATATGACATTTCAGCACAATCTCAATTCCCTTCCATACTTAAGAGAACATAATTTGTGACAGATGAGAACATTCCCTAATGCCAAGATATACAGCATTAACAGCCACTTTTTTATCCATCAGTCCCTTCTTGGCCATCTTATCCTAGTTTGCTGATAATACTTTAAACTATTAGGCCTTTCAATGAAAGTATCACATGTTTGTTTTTCAAATTTTATTTATCAAATGGGAACTGATTTGGTTGTACATTTCCATTCTAGAGCTGCTGCCGGTAGACCAAGACTGAAGATTGTGACAAAAATTATTTAATTCAGCTGTTATTTTGACATTGCAAAATGAACTATTTTTTTTCTGAACTTTACAACTTTGCCTGTATAATCATGTCATTTTGCCTATTGTTGCTTATCTACTAGATAAAACATTTAACTAAAAATAAATTTATGATTACAACCCTGGAAGTGTTCAAGGTCAGGTTGGTTGGGTTTGGAGCAACCTGGTCTAGTGGAAGGTGTCCCTGCCCATGGCAGGGGGTTGGAATGAGATGATCTTTAAGGTCCCTTCCAACCCAAACCATTCTGGGGTTTTATGATTCTTTTCTGGCTAAGATCTGTTTTCAAAATGTGAAAGAATTGTGAGTAGTCAATTTATTAAAGTAACTTAATGATCACATGTCCTGAAACCATGTTGTCCCACAAAGCTGTCATGATGTCACATGGGTCTTGCTGATAATTTTTGAATGCTTGAAGAAAAAGACCATATAGTTGCTATTTTTATTAACACATTATTTGTACAGTTCAGGAGATTGCAGATCCCAGGGACTGTCTGTCAAACATCTTTCTTGGTCCTTTTCCCTACACAGGGGGAATCCACAGTCATGAAGATCCTTTATCTGCTCTTTTCTCTCCTCTTCTTGACACTCCAGGTTTCTCCAGGTAAGATGGGAAAGAGATGCAAGAAAGGAGTATTTGTGCACCTGAAGTAAAATTCCCAAGCACATTTTAACAATTCCTGTTTAAAATTACTAGAATCCAAATAAGAATTAATCAAACAACTCAGTGCTGAAAACTTTTTCAAAGGCGGAGAAATTATAACTTCTGAAGAAAAGTGATTTTTCACTTCTAGTGTCTTCCTAAAATGATTGTGTGAAGTACTCTGGTGTTAGGACACCTGAGATAGTGCCTGTGGTGGCCATGATCTTTAGAAAGCAGATGAAAATGAGGCCTGGCCAACTATTTCTGGAAGGAGACATTAATAAAACCTCTGGATGACCCTTTCCCATAAGGTCCTGACAGTGAGTCAGGAAGTCTGTCTCATTCTCCACCTGGACTTTAGGGCCATGCACTTAGATGCAGTGTGAGCTGAGGATTCCACCTCTGGAAGGTGTAGACCTGCTTTGTAACCTCACCTCTCACATGGCCTTTCAGAATGACCAAATCTGGGCCTCTTAAGGCAACTTGGTGGCAAAGGCAGCTCAGGGGATGGGAAATCCTTCAGCTGCATTGCCCTGCCCTGCAGAGCCAGAGGACGGGAAATGTTTTGTTATGGTTGCAGGTTTGTCTTCACCCCGGAGGGAAATGTTTTTTTGTAGAAAAGGGACCTGTCACGTAGGAAGATGCCCCGTCCATCTGGTTAGAGATGGAAGCTGCTTTGGGATCCGCTCCTGCTGTAAATGGTGAGTTTCATGTTCACCAAGGCTCATCCGAAGTATGAGCAGGCAAATATTATTTCTGTGTCCCAAATCCCAAGGTGTTACTGAGAATTTAAATTAAATATAAAGGAGAAAAAAGAGCTCTTATGCCATGAGGACAGTCAAGTGTTACACGTTGACTCAAGTGTTGCACGTTGTACAAGAAGCTTTTGGACAAAGCTCTCAGGCAGATGTTGGGATTATTGAGTGTCCTGTGAAGGGCCTGGAGTTGGACTTGATGATCCTTGTGGGTCTCTTCCAACTCAGGATGTTCTATGACTCAAGTAGGTCGAGCTCCACAGTGCTTTTCTCCTGAGATGTGCACCATGCTCTGCTCCAACAAGAAGGAAAAAATACCATCAGAGAGGTCATCCTTGTGTTGTCTCAGCTCTGTTTGATCCCTTTCCATCTCCTGTGCCAGAGCGAAATATCAGGGTTTGGTATTTCCAAAACTGGGTTGCTGTGCTGTGACCACAGGTGCCTGAGTGCCTTCAAGGGTGTGCAAAAAGAGCACAACACTGTTGTAAAAAGAAATTATCATGTGAAAAATAGCCTGCTATTTTCATTCAGGAACGAATGCATTCACTCTGCTATCAATTCCCTGCTTTTCCTGAGGCAATAGGGAAATACTTCTTACTCACAGGTGTGTGTGCACATGGCTGTCTCAGCATGACTACACATGATATTATATATTTTGGAAAACTCTTATATTCAAGAGGAAAATGCACATGGGTTGAGAGTAAATAGGGAGGAACTATAAACAGAAAGAAAATTGGAATTTTTTTTTTCTTTGTGCAGGCCGTGGGATGTACAAGGCTTCAGTGAACCAAACATTGAAGAGCAATGAAAATTTCTTCTAAATCCAGGAATTTACTTGGAATCTTCTTACTGCTAAAACCAGTGGATCCTGCTGCAAAGCCTCACACACCTTTCACTTCCAATGAAAAAAGCTTTATGATATAAAGTAAATCCAAATGTATTCTGCATTGCTCCCCCTCCTTCTAAATAAATTGTTGCTTTGCATTGATATCACTGAAACAAGGGTGTCTGCTGCATGGGCTGAGGTCATGATCCCACCCGGGTTTGACACACAAACCCCAGAGGGCAACAATTTACAGTGCCTACAGCTCCTTAATTGGACCTTTTCTGAGTCATGTAGGTATCCAGGGCTAGACAGACATGGACTGAAGACCTTAACCTACAGTGCCAAGAGTTAGGCTGGCTGGAAGAACACAGCTTCCCTTTTTGGGAAGAACATCTGAACCCTTTGTGGGTTCAGATGCCAAAATACTTCTTTTCTTACTGCGCAGAAACCTTTTCTTGGGAAACATAAATAGTTGAAACCCCTCACTCCCCACCCTGGAGGCCCTGGGGCTCCTCCTCATTGTGCTCCAGCACACTGTAACACTCCTTCCTGGGGGCTGTGCTGCTCCACGTCCCATCCCACCACATGGTAGGGAGGGACTCCCTTGTCCTCAAGAGAACTTGAGATGATCCCATGGGCAACCTCAATGAGATCTTTGTGGACCTCACAGGGAAACAGGTTTCCCAGGGTGGCTGTCCAGCTCCCCATCAAGGGAATATCACAAAGAGGTCCCATGGATCAGAAGGGTTGCCCTGCAGGGTGTGAGCAGGGGGTCTTCTCCTCTCCAACCCCCTGGACACAACCTGAGGTTAGAGTGGCTGCTCCCTGCCAAGGCTGACCTCACCCTCTCTGCAAAATGCCTCCGTGATTGTGAACTCCCTGTGGATAAATATGTGTGGGTGTCCAAGAACATGTGTGTTCATAAGATGTGGTTCTGCTTGTACTGGTAGAGATTTGTCTGTCCAAGGAGGCCACCCTGTCCATTTCCAAACTTCCAACTGGGTATGCAGCACTTGGCAGAGATGCCAGGCTTCTGTTTCTTGGCATTTGCTTCCATCCTGTGTCACTGGGTAACTTAATCCAGCTCTCAGTTTCTAGGAAGACACCTCTAAGTTGACTACTTACCACAGCACACCACATCACTAAGGAAATGTTTCTGTTCCCTGTGAGGGCAGTGAGGCCCTGGCACAGGTTGCCCAGAGAAGCTGTGGCTGCCCCAATCCCCAGGTCAGTTTGGACAGGGCTTGGAGCAACCTGGTCTAGTGGAAGGGGCATGGCAAGGGGGGTTGAACAAGATGATCTTTAAGGTCCCTTCCAAACCAAACCATTCCAGAATGATTCTATGAAAGAAGGACAGTTCATCTCAGACTGGACTGGTGCTGTGTCTGCACCAACTAATTACTGTCCCTATCCCAAAGATTTTCCAGCCTGTGTACTTCTGTGCAGGGGGTGTCACAAGACATGTTGCAGGAGGATAATGGTGACATTGCAACAGCCCCAGGAGGCCCCTCAGCCTCTGCCACTGCAGCAGGGAGGGACGAGGGGCAGCCTCAGCACCCCCACACTGATGGGGCACTGCCTGGTTGGCCAAGGGCAGTTGTGTCAGCAGGAAGAAGTGCATGTCCCACCCTCTGGTAACGGTGTAAAAACAGGGTGTTTTAGGCAAAGTGATACTCCTCAGTTGTGACTCTTCTGTGTACAAGTGACTCCAGGTCAAATTGTTACAGCCCTTTGCTGCCTTGGTGTGCTCTCAACCAACTCCTTCATCAGGTAGGTGACTGAGGAGTCACTTCCAGGAGACCAAGACCCTTCCCTGCCCTCATGCTCTTCCCTGGCTCACTGCTGCACTGGGTAGGAGACTGTCATTGCTGGGAATCTTGGGAATGGTCAGGAGCTGGGGATGAGCACTCCCAAGCTGAGCTGGGAGGTGCTTTCCTGAGCTCAGCAAAGCAGGGGTGATCATGCAGAATGTTTGGGGAAGCCAGCTTTGGGCTGGCTGAGGTACTGGCATCTCCTGGTACAAGGATTGCCCTAAATTCTTGACCCTGATTTGGTTCTTGGTGTGTCCTCTCTGCAGCCCCGTGAAGACCCAGGGCAGGCACCAGCCATGCGGATGCTGTACCTGCTTCTCCCCTTCATCCTCCTGTTGGTCCACAGTGCTGCAGGTGAGAGGGACAGAGGGGAGATGGGTGAGGTGTGAGCCCCCATCTGTGGGGTTTTCCAGTTCCTGAGAAGTAACCAGATTTCTCAGATATACAAAATATTTGGGAGGGATTGTCTCTTACGAAGAGTTGGGTAAATGAGGACCCAGCACAGTTCTTCCTGCAGTTCACACTGGTCTTTCCCTGTGTTTCCCCACATGTTGCTGCAGAAAAAATAAAGCCTGATTGGAGAGGTAAAGATGTTTGGATTGGTGCTAAATGCCCATAGGAGACTGAGATGCAGAACCAGTGCCAGCTGCTCTGGAACAAGACACATTTTTTACAGTTATCCCATACTCATTTTATTCAGCGTCTTTCACTGTGCAGGATCCTCCCTGGCCCCAGGAAATAAGAAAGAATGCGAGCGAGAAAACGGCTACTGTGGGTTTCTGAAGTGCTCTTTCCCCTTTGGCATCCAGGGAAAATGTTCAAGGTTTTTCTTTTGCTGCAAAAAGTAAGTTCTATAATTACAAAAGGTACTGTCATGACACAAATTGTTTGAGTGCCCATGGCTAGTTAATGGCTTAGTGCTCTACATGCTCCAAGGCAGAGCCCAGGGGAGGAAAGGGACCTGTCCTGACTGGGGTTGCAGGAACCTCAGGTCAGCCTGTGCCTCTAAACTCTTCTCCAGTGCCAGGAAGCTCATTCAGGTTTGCAGAGGACTCATTCAAGCCACCAAAGAGTGACGCATTTGCTGTCCCTGGGCAGCATCCAAGGACATGATTCAGATTTTGCTGCCTCTGCAGAGACCTGGAGTCAGGGCTGCCACCACTGAGATAACCCAGGTCCAAACTGTCTACACAAAGGGCTGGAGCTCACCTGTGTGCTGAGCCTGAGTCTCCTGCACCACAGACTGGATGGTCCTTGTGGGGGAGGTGGGAGAGAGTGGGAGGAAAAGTTACCACAGTTGACGTGCTTCTCTGCTTTCTTTGTACAGAATCTGGGGGTGAAACCCTGAAATTTCCAAGCAGGATGTTCCCCTCGCTTCTGGCTCCTGGAACCATCTCCCCTCCCTGCCTCTGCCATGCCCAG